GTGCAGTTCAAGCTTGCTTGAACTCACCTTGTAGCCCAGGCTGGCCTCAAACTCATAGTGATCTTCCTGCCTCAGCCTCCTGAGTGCTGGGATTACAAGTGTGCACCACTACTCCTGGAGATTTCTTTCTTTCCCTTTTTTAGGACCTAGATCCTTTGGAGCTTGGGTCTGACCAGAGGCAGAGAAAAGGCTGAGACATATTATGTGATTGCTAGAGATTTGTGGTGGGCAGGTCTCAGGCCAAACCCATCCTGGCTCAGACTCTTCCTGGCAGGGCATTCTCTGCTGAAGGGCTGGATTCTACATAGTGTTATACATTATTATTATTATTATTATTATTATTATTTTGGGTAGGGCCATTCCCTCCACCTCTACCCATGCAGAAATGTGCCCCTCCACCAGGCTGGGCACCCTGGAGCGGGCACCCTCTGGAGTTCTTCATGAGGCATAAAGGAACCATCAGAGTATTCTCTGATCCTGAGAACTGAGCAGAACTGAATAGACTGAGGCTTCCCCATCTTTCTCTGAGGCATGATGCAGTGATTTGGTTCTAGGTTGTCCCCTCAGAAGACTCGTGTGTTTGGATCATGGGGGTTCAGTAGCTAAATATGCTTTTAGGAAGCAGGGCATTGGGGGAACTGGACACAGGGTAACACCTGGAGGGTACATTCTTGTCCCCCAACCCTCCCTTCTCTCTCTGCTTCCTGGCAGCCATGGGTGAACCCCTTTCTTTTCATCATGCCCTTCCACCACCATTTCTCTGCCTAGGAGCAAGAAGACCATGGGCTGAAATCATGAATTAAAATAAAACCTCTCCTCTTCTGAATTGTAGGTGTTGGGTATTTTGCCCCAGTGACCAGAGAGTGACTAGGAAGCTGAGCCTCTCACAATCTCTAGATGTCGTGGGGCAGCGTTCATGTGCACCTTAAATTTCTGAGGACTTATGGCATAGGGGTGCCCGCCTCTCCCCCACAGCGAACAGTACTCCTGGGCTTCTGTGCCTCTTCCCTGCTCTGTTCTAGTGCCTGCACCAGGGAGCCCTGCGGGCCTACTGCACAGTGAGATCCACCTGGAAAGCTGGAAAGCCTTCCGGCCTGCATCAGCCATCCTGAGAAATTATTTAATGGAGCAAGTTGCCCTCCTAGCAAGGAGGCGACAAGAGCTTGCACACTCCCTTGAACCTGCCTGGCCACAACCTTGAGCTCTTATTCCTTATTAGACTGAGGGATGAGTCTGGGGATGGGGTAGGAAGGGGCATGGAGGAGAGTATTGGCGGTGAGCCATTTCTGCTCTCTTATAATGGTCCCTCTGAGGAGATGGCTGCTTTCAGTTGAGGGGAAGGCTTTGTGTAGAATGCGGAGCACTTACATAACTTAGTTTTGGGCTAGAGCCACGCTTTAGGATGCTGATATGCGATGTGTGTTCTGATGCCTTATAACAGGTACCTAGAGGTAGATGCATAACGGCACATAGGGATACGCTGTCGGCTTGTCAAAGGCTGGCACCTTTCTCATATGCAATTCCTAAAAATTGTACTAACTCATAGCAAGTGTGAAAAATTGCGATACAATGTTATTTTTCCCAGGACAGTTTTTATTTTTCCCAATGTCAAATTTCAAAGCATTAAAAATAGTTGGATGGCCCTACATTCCTAGTGCCCCAAAACATACTTATTGGCAATCCAGCCCTGAGCTTCACTGAGAAGTCTGAGAAATTTCTCTTTGTGATCTACAGCTACATGCAAGTACCAGGATGGCGTGTGACTGTAGATGACTTTTCTGCCTTGCGGTCACCCCATGCACTTAGCTAAACCTGAATTTAATTTTGAATATGCAAATAAATTGATGTCTGAAATAAATGTTTGACTTCACTGACCCATACTGGCCAGGGAAGGTTACAGTGTTTTGTGCCAGATGGACTAGGTTTTAAGCCTGGCTTCATGGTGATGATGATTTTTTTGTGTGTTGGGGATTGAACTCAGGGCCTTGTGCTTGCCAGGAGGGCAGTTATGCTGCTGAGCTATCTTCCCAGTTTGCTGACTTCGTAATTTTAGGCAATTTGTTCAATCCCTTTGAGTCTCCATTTCTTTATCCGTGAAATAGGAATAATAACAATATCAATCTCAGGGAATTGTGGGAATCAAATGGGTTAATTCATATGAGAATTGAAGGTTAATTCATGAAAAAGCATCTGACACATGGTAAATTCTTAGATGTTAGCTACTATTACAAACCCACATGCATTATGTAGAAAAAAGGGACTTTCTTATTTTTTCCCCCATATTATAGATGTTTTCTATACAAATGAAATGGATGAAGTGCGTCCTTTACAATGAGTTTGGAGTACTGAAAGAGTTGCTGGGGATGGGGGTCAGAGTGGAGTGAGAAATCTCGTAGTGGCAGAGGTGACTCATTTGGGCTCAGGGTAGCAGAGGGGCCCTGCCCCAGCTTTTCAGCTCCAGTAGCAGGAGGGTGAGCTACCCTGAAGGGCCAGACAATCACAAACAGATGTGGACATCCACTGCCATCTGTATCCCATGATTGTGCCAGGAGAAACTCATTACTGATAAGCAGACCTGTGTAATTCCTCCTTTCTACCCTAATTCACACCGGCTCTTTCTTCTGCACCTGTTGGCTATGTTGAGCTCCCCTGTGAATCGCCGCATGCTTGCAGATTGATATTGAAGGGAAAAGTCTGACATCATGATTTTCTTCAAATGGCTTTTCAATATGTCATTTGTTGTGTCAGCCTCCTTGCTTGCCTCCTTTCTGGTCACGCAGAGGCCTTATTAGTTATATTGACCCAACTAACATGAATGGATCTAGCTGAGTATTCTGGAGTCAAAGGCAGACCATTTATGTATTTCTTTCCTTGTCTTCTTCTTATTGTAATCTTCCCATAGCAAGCTTTCTTTCTGAATTCATCATGGATCTCAAGAATTAGTCTTGATCTTTCCAGCAAATATTTGCCAGGTTGTAATTTCTTATTTGCTATCAACAGTTAAATTTAAACAAGGCTAATCTTGTTTTAATTTAGTTTGTGTAAGTCCAGGTTGATACTTAGGGCAAGCAAATGTTAATTTCCAGTTTTTTCTTCAGTATGCCTTCATTGCCTATATATTTTCCTCCTCCTCCTCTCCTTCTCCTTCATGTGGCCTCACTTTTCTTTAAAGAAAAGAGATTATCTGGGATCAGTAAGAACCACATACGGAGTTAAACTTTAAACAGAAAGTATTGGGACAAAAATCCACTGAAATATATGAGATCCTGTGTTTGGGAGGGCAGTGTGGGGTCTCTTTGATAGCCTACTCCTGTTACCATTGCCTTTTTCCTCTCTACCACTTCAGGGGATTCTCCAAAGATTGCAGCCCCTTGAGTTTGCCCTCCAGCTGCAGTAACCTTGAGTAGAGTTGCTATCTTGCCTACACAGGTAGACAAGTGACTGCCTACTCTGGCCTGCAGTCGGAGACTGCACAGACACCCTGCTTTGCCCTGCATTTGACCTTCCTAAGTTGTGCGTGTGTATTTGCTGATTTCAAGGGCAGAGCTTTTGATGTGTGGCCAGAGTGGATGGTGGGCTGTTGAACGAGAAACTGTTGGCAAGCTCTAATTCACTTGAAGAATAGGTATCTTAATAAGAGGTTGCATTTTGATTCTAGCCCCTCAATCGTTGCTCAAGCACATGTCCATGGTCTCCTTCTCCTACATGTCCCAGGTTGTGTCTGCCACCAGAACTCTTAAGCTTGGCTGCTGGCAGCGGGACAGCATTTCCTCCTCACCTGCTTGTCAGGGAATGTCCAGAACCTCCAGGGCAACAAGTTCCTGTGTCTCCCCCAGGAAGCTCTCTGTGCCCTTTCCAGTCTGCACAACCTTTCAGGAATCAACACCAGTCACCAGCACGCTGATGTGGGCAGATGTAAGCAGGTCGCATTAGAACACATTCCATCTGTTTGCTTATCTATTGCATATGGCTGCTCTGGAAAGATGGGCGGAGTTGTACAGGGACTGTATGAGCTATAGGCCTGAAGAATTTGCTTTCTGGTCCCTTACAGGAAATTTGTAAGCTTTATACCAAAAGGAGAGAGTTTAGTGTGTGTACCTTTGAGCAGGACCTGCAATCAATGTTCCTTATTTTGGGGTTTTTCAAAGCTCATTTTAAATTTGGCATAGATTTTTAGTATTTGTCACAAAATTGCATTTCAAGGTTGAGGGGAGTTTGGGCAGGGGACAAAGAGAACTCATGGAATTCTATTTTTAAGAGGCAGGATCCATTTACTGTTGTTGTCTTGTGATTGTAGAAAAACTCTTCAAGAGGGCCGGGGAAATGGCTCAGTGGAATAAGTGCTTCCCTGGCAAGCACAAGGGGCTGAGTTCAATCCCCGGCTCTGCAAAAAAAAAAAAAAAAAAAAAAAAAAAGAAAAACTCTTAGAGCACAATTCTATTCTTAAACCAGTTCCTGGCTTCCCAGAACTCTATTGTTACCAGCCTCAGTTTAAGAACATAAACCTTACTAAATTTTTATGAGGATGCATAGATGACTTAATTAAAATTGCATGGTGGCTAATACACACAAAATTAGAAGATTAATGTTTACTTCAGAAACAATAAAAAAATAGTACTTAGCAGGTCCTTTTGAACATGGAAGTGTTCCGTGTTATAAGGATCTGGTCAGGCATAGTGATACAGCCGGGCATGGTGGTACATGCCTCTAATCCCAGCATTCAGGAAACTGAGGCAAGAGGATCACTGCAAGTGTGAGACCAGCCAGGGCTACAAAGTGAGCTCAAGGGCAGCCTGAGCTATACAACCAGAACTTGACTCAAAAAGACCAAAAAAAAAAAAAAAAAAAAAAAAAAGTTTTGTTTTCAAATTTTTATGATGATGTCTTGCTAAGTGGTCCAAACTGAGGCTGATTTTTGCCTCTCCTCATTCAGCCTCCCACAGAGCTAGTGTCATAAGTGTATGCTGCCATAGATTAATTTCTCCTTCTCTCCTGCCTAGCGGTCAGCCCATTCCCAGGGTGGAGTACACGGAAGAAGAAACAAAAACTTGGGGCGTTGTATTCCGAGAGCTCTCCAAACTCTACCCCACTCATGCTTGCAGAGAGTATTTGAAAAACTTGCCCCTGCTGATGAAATACTGCGGCTACAGGGAGGACAATGTGCCTCAGCTTGAAGACGTGGCTGTGTTCCTGAAAGGTGAGGCGGCTTCCAGGGCCCTTTCTCCTCACCTGTGTTCCCATTTGTCTTTCAAGGACTCACACAGCAGCAACTGCCCTTTTTCTAAAAAGGAAAAGAAGTAGTTGATTAAACGGAGCATAGAACCAACAGCTCCCCGTGGGCTGCCCAAGGGATGTGGATCGTGTCTGCAGGCCAGAGAAATGGACTGACTGTTGACATGGCCTGGGATGTGCCGAGGCCTCTTACTCTCTGTTTAGACTTGGTGAACACCACAGAACATTTGCGCGTTCTTCCCCAAGCTTTTTCTAACCCAGGAGCTGCTATCTGTTGGGTCACATGGGTAAGAAGTGACTTTGGAGATAGTACTGGATAAAGAAGTGTCATGGATGATATTGACGATTAGGGACTTTGCTCTGGGATCAGTCAGGCAGTCAGTGAACCAAGTAATCAACATTGTTCACTGTAAGTTGTGTGCCAGGGGCTGTGTGTCTTGCTGTTGTCACTGCAGTGAGCAAGATGAGTCCTAGGCGACCACATCCCATTCCCCGCGTGTCATTCTCCTCAGCTAGGGAGACGGAAGGCTCTCTTGAGGCACTGGGGAGGAGCCCAATCCCACTTCCTCACCTGCTCTTCATTCTGGTTGAGTTCTCGGGCCCTCTGCTCCCCTCTGCCTTCTTCCCTCTTTTTTCCAAACTTCTCTTCCTGTTCTGAAATGTATTTCCACACCTAGCTTCCCTGTTTCTATCGGGATACTTCATTCTCTAGACACATTGGTTTGGCCCTAAGGTCTCCTCTGAATTTCTACCAACCTTCTTCCTCCTCACCCCTACTTAGTAGACCTTCATATTAGTGTTTTATTGTTGTGTAAACAAGTTACCAGAAACTTTAGGACTTGACACAAATGATTGCTGAATGGCACTGGGGGTCAGAGTCTAAATCAAGCCATTGGCAGGGTGACATTCCTTTTATTTATTTATTTATTTTTATTTTTTATTTTTCAACAAATAATACACTGCATATATTCTTCTTAGTGGTTAATTGCTGTACAAGATGCGGACTTGTGATCCTATTTACAAACACCAT